CTGCATAGCCAACTACCACAGCGGCATAGCCAACTACCATATCTGCATAGATAACTACCACAGCTGTATAGCCAACTACCACAGCTGTATAGCCAACTGCCATAGCTGTATAGCTAACTACCACAGCTGTATAGCCAACTACCACAGCTGTTTAGCCAACTACCACAGCGGCATAGCCAACTACCACAGCTGTATAGCCAACTGCCACAGCTGTATAGCTAACTACCGCAGCTGTATAGCCAACTGCCATAGCCACATAGCCAACTACCACAGCTGTATAGCCAACTACCACAGCTGTATAGCCAACTACCACAGCTGTATAGCCAACTGCCATAGCCGCATAGCCAAGTACCACAGCGGCATAGCCAACTACCACAGCTGCATAGCCAACTACCACAGCTGTATAGCTAACTACCACAGCTGTATAGCCAACTGCCATAGCCGCATAGCCAAGTACCACAGCTGCATAGCCAACTACCACAGCTGTATAGCCAACTACCACAGCTGTATAGCCAACTACCACAGCTGTATAGCTAACTACCACAGCTGTATAGCTAACTGCCATAGCCGCATAGCCAAGTACCACAGCTGCATAGCCAACTACCACAGCTATATAGCCAACTACCACAGCTGCATAGCCAACTACCACAACTGTATAGCCAACTACCACAGCTGTATAGCCAACTGCCATAGCCGCATAGCCAAGTACCACAGCGGCATAGCCAACTACCACAGCTGTATAGCCAACTGCCACAGCGGCATAGCCAACTACCACAGCTGCATAGCCAACTACCACAGCGGCATAGCCAACTACCACAGCTGCATAGCCAACTACCACAGCGGCATAGTCAACTGCCATAGCTGCATAGCCAACTACCACAGCTGTATAGCCAACTACCACAGCTGTATAGCCAACTGCCACAGCAGCATAGCCAACTACCACAGCTGCATAGCCAACTACCACAGCGACATAGCCAACTACCACAGCGGCATAGCCAACTACCACAGCTGCATAGCCAACTACCACAGCGGCATATCCAACTACCACAGCTGTATAGCCAACTGCCACAGCGGCATAGCCAACTATCACAGCCATATAGCTAACTACCACAGCTGTATAGCCAACTGCCATAGCTGTTTAGCCAACTACCACAGCGGCATAGCCAACTACCACAGCGGCATAGCCAACTACCACAGCTGTATAGCCAACTGCCACAGCTGTATAGCCAACTACCACAGCTGTATAGCTAACTACCACAGCTGTATAGCCAACTGCCATAGCCGCATAGCCAAGTACCACAGCTGCATAGCCAACTACCACAGCTGTAT